TGAGGTGGGAAGATCGTTTGAGCCCAGGAGGTTGAGGCTGCAGTGAGTTGTGGTCACACCACCATCTTCCAGCCTGGGCAACAGAGCAAGACCCTGTCTTTTAAATAAAAGATGGGTATTCCTATTTATGTAAATGAGTTCATTTTTTCTTATTTTACTGTATTTACCAAATTAAGACAAAAATGACCTTTTTTATAGAGTAACACAGCATCTGGCGGAATGACACGGCGAAATACTTACGTTTGCAGTGAGAGAACTACAGCTGATAGACACTCAGTGATTCAGAATGGCAAAGAAAACAGGTAGGAAATTCTACCTGTTTGTAAGAAAAGTTGTTTTTCCCAAGAGAAATGGAAGCATGTTATTTACTGCTTTGTTTTTATAATCATTCTCAAATTAAAGCTGTAAGTATTCTCTGAAGGTAAGTTAAACTTGTGTACTAATGTTTAGCAAGATACTAGAATTGTAAATTGTTTTCGTTGTCCAGAGCGTCATCCTCCTGCCTGGCTGTGTATGATAATTAAAAGCATTGGGTTAAACCCAGGAGGTTTCCTAGAGGAAGTAGAAAGTAAGCTGTGAGCATGTTGTAGGACATTGACTAGATGGAGATTGTCTTGTGCACATTAATAACTTGAAAAAAAACTGAAAGTGGGGGAAGATAAGGACTCGAGGCAGAGAGCCACACTTGGGAGAATGCAGAGCACCACTTAGCAGTTTACCAAAGGGTCCAGATGACTGAGTCTAAGTAGAAACACTGGGGAAGCCAAGAGAAATGGCCAGTCAGGCCTTCTGAATGCTTTTAATGTGCCTGCAGGGCAGGCATACATAGGATGAGCACGATTTAAAAGACAATGATGTAGGCCGGGCACGGTGGCTCAAGCCTGTAATCCCAGCACTTTGGGAGGCCGAGGCGGGTGGATCACAAGGTCAGGAGATCAAGACCATCCTGGTCAACATGGTGAAACCCCGTCTCTACAAAAAAAAAAACATTAGCTGGGCGTGGTGGCGCGTGCCTGTAATCCCAGCTACTGAGGAGGTTGAGGCAGGAGAATTGCCTGAACCCAGGAGGCGGAGGTTGCGGTGAGCCGAGATCGCGCCATTGCACTCCAGTCTGGGTAACAATAGTGAAACTCCGTCTCAAAAAAATAAATAAATAAATAAATAATAAAAGACAGTGATGTTACATGTCAGTAAGGAGAGTGTCCTATCATGCACGCTATTTTCTTGGGGTTATGAAATAAGAAAATAAGTAGAGTCAGTAAAATGGGATTAGATAGCCCCAGAGATTCTGAGGTAGGGTTAGTCTGGATGGAAAGAAAAAAGAGAAGTTGGAATGGTAGAGGATAATTAAATATGCTGTATTTTGTTGAGAACAAATTTCCCAGGCTGGCACGGATTTTCCTTCTTTGTTTTTGGAAGAACAGTATATAAACTAAATTCAAAAGTGTACATCATTCTTCTAACTTGAACATTGTTTGCATCAGAATTGTTTCTTTTGACATTTACTTTCTGCAGTTACAGTGTAAGGTTCTGTTTCTTTTTTTTTTTTCTTTTTTTTTTTTTTTTGAGACGGAGTTTCGCTCTTGTTACCCAGGCTGGGCTGGAGTGCAATGGCGCGATCTCGGCTCACCGCAACCTCCGCCTCCTGGGTTCAGGCAATTCTCCTGCCTCAGCCTCCTGAGTAGCTGGGATTACAGACACGCGCCACCATGTTCAGCTAATTTTTTTTTTTTTTGTAGTTTTAGTAGAGACGGGCTTTCACCATGTTGACCAGGATGGTCTCGATCTCTTGACCTCGTGATCCACCCGCCTCGGCCTCCCAAAGTGCTGGGATTACAGGCTTGAACCACCGTGCCCGGCAGGTTCTGTTTCTTAATCCCAACCTAGGTTTGATCTCATTAGTCAAATGAAATGTTTGATCACTATATTTTGTGACAGCCTAAGCAAAAATTATTTCCTCCTTCATCCTTAGTACCAAACTGATTATCGCTCCCCTGTTCCATAGGCCACTTAGGATTGAATTGATAGGAGTAACATCTGTTCTGTAAGATTATGGATATTATTCGTTGCATTTTTAGCAATATTTACATTCTCTTGTTCTCTTTTCTGACTTGCATGTGTGTGTCTGTGTTTTAACATTGTCTTTTTTCCTATGATTAAAAACTGTTAAGAACTTGAGTATAGCAGCTGGGGTAGATGGTTTACAGATAATGGTTGGTATAGGTATTTCCTAATAGTAGTCTACTCTTTGGTAGATTTGTATTATAGTTCCCTTCTTAACTCTCAAATTTCTTCTAGTTCACAAGTGACTTAATAGAAATAGCAGTAGAAGTCTTAAAAGTTCCTGTAGTCTACAGGACTACAAAAATGTTTCATGGCCAGGCGCAATGGTTCACACCTGTATTCACACCCAGCACTTTGGGAAGCCAAGGTGGGCGGATCACTTGAGGTCAGGAGTTCAAGACCAGCCTGGCCAACATGGTGAAATCCCCATCTGTTCTGAAAATACAAAAATTAACTGGATGTGGTGGCAAAAGCCTGAAATCCCAGCTACTAGGGAGACTGAGGTGGGAGAATCACTTGAACCCAGGAGGCAGAGGTTGCAGTGAGCTGAGATCACGCCACTGCAGTCCAGCCTGGGTGACACAGCAAGACTCCATCTCAAAAAAAAAAAAAGTTTCATTACCAAGTACTTCTAATGTAATTTGTACTTGAGTTAAGGCACTTCTAAATTCTGGATGTGCACCACCCACCTCCTTCTGAACTTCAGGTTATGTGACTGTGTAAGGTACAGAGTCAGTCTCCTCAAGGGTATTAAGACCAGGGTCTGCTCTTTGCTCCTCATCCTGTGCTACACGTATCATACACCAGGCATATGCATGTATACTGGTGCTCTTCTGATTCTCTTTTCCTAAAATTTTTCATTTCACTCTTTGGAGATAGTGTTTAAGACTTCTTTTATTTGGCATCATTTCCTTTCTGCATTCTCACTGGAGACAACTGCCGTGTTGGGCCCACTCTTTTGTTTCCTGACCTGGGCCTCATTGCCTCTCGTAGCATCGGTCATTGAAATACTTTGCTTTTGAAGGTGTCCTCTTTCTCTTTAGCCAAAGAGAGTCTCAGTGCCAAACCTTAAAAGACAGGGCCCATTGTTTTAATAATATTTGGATTTTCCTTTCCTATCTTATAAGTGAATTGAAAGACTGGAAAATTATTGGGTTTGACAACTGAACCTTGTGGTCATAATTTTTACTTGAGTTAAGGCACTAAATGTGACAGCTTTCCCTTAAAATCAATGCTTGAGTCTTCAGTGAGATACAATTAGCTTTCTCTGCACAGATGACTTCTTAGGCAGATTGTTCCTTTCCCTTTCTTCACCCACCCATATATCTTAATCTTTCACTAATTTAAAATATGTGTGAGCTGAAGGAAGCCTGGACCTGTGTTAACTTCTGAAATAAACACGTTAAGTTCCAATGTTAGCCTTAAATATTTTTGACTGTTTTCTTTTTTATATGAGTGTTTATACAGAATTTCAGCATGAGAATAATGATGGCTAATTCTTTTTAAAACTGTATAAAGGTTTAAACCAAAGACTCCACGTATCTTAAGCCCTTACTACCTTCAAAATCCTACTGTAAACATAGGATATGTTAAAGGCTTACCAAATGCAGGGCTTTTTTCTCTTGCCATAGGCAATATAATTAATTTTAATAGTTTTTTCTTTTGAAAATTACTTTTATTAATTGGTTCTTACCAGCTCAGCCTTTGTTTTATCAGCTTTCTTGTGGGAACAATAAAGTTAATGATTTGGGGAGCGTAGGTTAGGACTGGGTGTTACTTTGGCACAGACACCTGTGAGTAGTTTTCTAAGGCTTGTTTTGAACCAGTCATACTGAAGGCCAGCCCACTTTCTGCTGTAATTTCTCCTTTCTGATGTTGTTCTCAAAAAATGTCCAGATTCCAGGTATGACTAATAGTTGGTGTAAACTAGGCATGAGAGGGTTTGATTACATCTTTAATTGTATGATTCCATTAAGATGGTATAGGTTTGCAGTGTGAGTCTTGAACCATGTAGTACTGGCACATAGTGCTCAACAAATGTTAGCTTTCATTATTAATTATAGACTGTTTAGCCAAGGCTATGAAGGTTTTTCTTAGTTTACACTGACTAAGTCTAATCTCTGAAGTTAATAATGTTGCTAAACAACCTACATAGCAGAGACATTCTGCCCCTACTGTTCATATGCTTTAGATACCTGGGCGAGGCTGTTCAGACTGCATTCATTTAAAGAACCCAGAAAGTGACCTGATGGTGTTACAATAATGCAAACAGAATTTTTTCTTTTTTTGAGATGGAGTCTCGTTCTTTTACCCAGACTAGAGTGCAGTGGTGCTGATCTCAGGTCACTGCACCTCCGTCTCTCGGGTTCAAGCAATTCTTCTGCCTCAGTTTGGGATTACAGGCGCACACCACCACACCTGGCTAATTTTTGTATTTTTAGTAGAAATAGGGTTTCACCAGGGTTGTCTCAAACTCCTGACGTCAAGTGATCCACCTGCCTCAGCCTTTCAAAGTGCTGCGATTACAGGGGTGAACCACTTCATCCAGCCCAGAATCCTTTTCAAAGAAGTTTTAGATACTGGATATTATTTTAAACTTTCAAAATTATAAAGTGACTTTATTATTTTATTCACTTACCCCACATCAAGCCATACACAGATTGAGCAGAGAAGGATTGGGGACACTTAGCATATATATATCTTTGGACAACATATGAAAGTTGTTTGTTTTTTTTTTAAATGGATGGAGTCTTGCAGTATTGCCCAGGCTGCAGTGCAGTGGCTGTTCACATATGTGATTGTAGTGTACTGCAACCTTGAGCTCCTGGGCTCAAACAATCCTCTTGCATTGGCCTCTTGAGTAGCTGAGACTAAAGGCAGGCACCATTGCACCTAGCTAATTTTTCTTTTTTTTTTTCTTTTTTTTTGAGATGGAGTTTCACTCTTGTTGCCCAGGCTGGAGTGCAATGGCACAATCTCGGCTCACCACAACCTCCGCCTCCTGGCTTCAAGTGATTCTCCTGCCTCAGCCTCCCAAGTAGCTGGGATTACAGGCATGCACCACCATGCCCAGTTAATTTTTTTTTTTTTTTTTTTTGCATTTTTAGTAACAACAGAGTTTCTCCATGTTGGTCAAGCTGGTCTCGAACTCTTGACCTCAGGTAATCCGCCCATCTCAGCCTCCTAAAGTGCTGAGATTACAGGCGTGAGCCACCATGCCTAATTCTTTATTTTTTGT